CAAAAACTAACTCAGGAGGATGAAGAAAAGAGTATAAAGCATAACTTGCCCCTTGTTCCAAGTTTTCATAGTCCCCATGATTAAGTCCCCACCCATCGTGGGCAGCCCTATAGGGTGGTGACTGGGTAAGAAATGATGTTTGGGCCGGGTGCGGTGGGTGGCTCACGTCTTTAATCCCAGCACTCTGGGAGGCTGAGGCAGGCAGATTGTTTGAGTTTAGGAGATTGAGACCAGCCTGAGCAAGAGCAAGACCCCGTCTCTACTAAAAATAGAAAGAAATTAGTTGGATGACTAAAAATATATAGAAAACAAATTAGCTGGGCATGATGGCACATCCCTGTAGTCACAGCTACTCGGGAGGCTGAGGCAGGAGGATCGCTTGAGCCCAGGAGTTTGAGGTTGCTGTGAGCTAGGCTAAGACCACGACACTCTAGCCTGGGCAACAGAGTGAGACTTTGTCTCAAAAAAAAAAACAAAAGAAGTTTGGAGTCAAGTGAACGTGAATTCATGTCCTATTCTCACCACTCGCTTCTTGGGTAACTTCATACAAATAATGTATTTTCTTTAGGTTTTAGTTCAATAATCTCCAAAATGGGAATAATAATAGCACCTCATTCCCAAAGTTTTCAGAATAGTGGTCCCCAACCTTTTTGACACCAGGGACCGGTTCCGTGGAAGACGCAGACTGGGAGGGCGGGAGGCAGAGCTCAGGGGTGACGTGAGTGACGGGGAATGGGCGTGAGCACAGATGAAGCTTCGCTCACTCTCCTCCCCTCACCTCCTGCGTGTGGCCCAGCTCCTAACAGGTCACACACCAGTACTGGTCTGTGGCCCAGGGGTTGGGGACTTCAGGTCTTGACGATTAAATGTACCAAGCATTAATATATTGCCTGGGACCCAGAAGCACTTGACAAATGATAGTTTCTGCTTTCAGTGAATTAATTTGGTTTATGCAGAACTCAGTTCTTTTCCTTATTTTTCACCCCCACACCTACCCTGCACAAACAAAAAGCCTCACTCACCTAAGGGTGTTTAAGTGTATAGCACACAAAATTGAGGAAAAGGGCAGGATTTACATCACAGACACCTCACACTTTAAAACCGAATAGTAGGGCCTGGGGGCAGTGGGCACTGCCATAATCCCAGAACTTCTGGCAACACAGCAAGACCCCTTCTCTGAAAAATGAATACATGAATAAATAAATTGAATATTAGGGACTCTCTTCAGACCCATTCTGGCTCATGGGCTGACTGATTTAAAAAAAGGGTAGTTTGGGGGCTGCCCAATTTTAAAGAAATGATTAGACACGTCCACTCTTAAAAGATCTATCCACCAATTTCAGGAGTCTTGGGCTCCAGCCTACCAGTGTGTGCTGAGCCCTGTCTCTACTCTCTTCTGTGCAGCCCTTTGACTTCCACATTGCTTTTAACTTCTAGTGTATGAAAGTTTGCCTCACTTTCTATCCATAAAAGTAAAAAATCTTTCTCTGCAGGATTTTTTTCTTAGCTGTTGATATAATAACTTTTTTCATGTCCATTGACATTTGGTTTACATCTTAGAATTCTGAATAAGGACTTCATGTGCCAAAGATTTCCACTACCAAAAATGGGGAGGGGCAGTTTCTAAATCATTCTTATAATCCAGAGATGTAAAGAACATAATAAATTATACCTGAGAAACTATTTAGGTGAATTCAAAGTTTCCTTGGGAATCATCCTGTGTGGTACTCAATTCTGCTTTGTTGAATCATACATTATGTGAAAGATTAGCAAAGGAGAAAAGAAGAACTTCAAGGATGCTGGCATAGTTTTGCAGAGGCTAACACAATGTAGCCCCAGTAAGACATAGATCTGTAGACTAAAGTTCTCTAAAGCAGAAGCAATCTCTATTTGCCTTAAAAGCTATGAAACCAGAGGCATAGCACTTCTAGAGCAATAAAAGGGTCTGGATTTAGCTAATTCAGTTTTCTCACTTTACACATGGGAAACTGAACCACCACAGAATTAATAGCACAGCCGAGGCCAGAGTCGAGGTTTCCTGACTCATGGACACGACATCATGGCTGGCGTTTAGGTGCCATCCAGACTGGCGCCATGGGCCCTGTGCGTGTGTGATAAAATTGAGATGAGTTAGCAGGTGCCATGGTGGGGGATATAGGCAGTGGGGTCTCAGATAACCTTGATGAAGGTACTTTGCCTTCCTTGGCTTAAATTAATTCATCTTTATAGGAGGTCTACTCATGGGGGGAAACTTTGGGAGGTGGGATATGTTTACAGCGTAGACTGCGGTGATGGTTTCATGGGTGTCTCCAAACTCTAGATTGTGGTTTTGGTTTCATACTTTTCTCTGCTCATTGTCATATATATTAGACATGTACAGGTTTTTGTATGACAATTATAGCTCAATAAAGTGGTTCTTAAAAAAAATTAGAGCTAATTCTTCCCTCACGTGGCAGGTGTGAGGACTAACAATGCGAGTGTGCACGTGAGACGCCCATCCCCACGTCCGGAGCACAGCGGGCACACAGTGAAGGCCACGTCCTGCCCTTCCTCAGTCACACCGGCAGACAGGTTGGGTTCAAGGTCGGGTGCCATCAAGTAGAAGAAAACAACAGGCACCAATAGTTGGGAGACGGTGAAACACGTGGGTGCTTAGTGGGGACGCTGTGGGGATGAAGGCAGGCTGCGCCCGGCTGTCCTCCAGGTGGCAGCTGGCAGGTGAATGAAGAGCAGCACGTGGGTAGCTCTGCTCCAAGTTCCAGATGCAGGAGTGGTGGATGCCAGGGCCAGCTTGGTTTCCAGCCTGAACATCCATCTCATTGCTCTCCGCTCATTTGCCAAAGGCAGGCTCCCACCTCTCCTGGGTCCCAGGGCCGATCTTGACGTGGGGCCAGATGTGCTCAGTTGGCTGCAGCTCCACATTTGGCTGCTAGTCTAATCCTGACGGCTAGACTGCTGCTTGCTCTCCTGTCTGAACCCTGCCCCTTAGCCTGCCTGCCTCTCCCTGGCTTCCTTGTCACTCTACCACATGTACCTGAGAGGATGCCACTGCTTGCTCTCCTGTCTGAACCCTGCCCCTTAGCCTGCCTGCCTCTCCCTGGCTTCCTTGTCACTCTACCACATGTACCTGAGAGGAAGCCACTGCCTGCCTCCTCGCGCCGCTATAGTCGGAAATTGCAGTGGCTGCCTGGCACATCACCGTTCCCCCGAAGGCCGTGCCTGCGTGCTCATCCTGGCCTGTAGCTGTGACTGAATGAGCCAAGGGGAGACCTGCTGACCTGTCAGGCTCCTTCCCAAGACTCAAAAAATTTTTACTGATACATACATTCACAGTAGAAGTGATAATTTAATACATTCATATAATTTGTAAAGATCAAGTCACTGTACTGGGATATCCATCACCTAAAATACATGTCTTTTTATGTTAGATCTTTCCTGAGAATTTTGAAAACTTAGAGATGGAAAATGGTGAGAGCCGAGTCACCTCTGGAGACATTCACAAGAGAAGCCCATGGGCCAGGTGAGGTGGCTCACACCTGTAATCCTAGAAATCTGGGAGGCAGAGGGATTGACCCCAGGAGTTTGAGGTTGCTGTGAGCTAGGCTGATGCCATGGCACTCTAGCCCAGGCAACAGAGGAGACACTGTTTTAAAGCAAAAAAGAGAGAGAGAGAGAGCGCAAGAGGGAGAGAAGCCAGAAGCTCTTCTGTTTCAGAAGCACTGACCTGTCACCATGCGTCTTGAGACACGGCTGTTCAAGTCTCCTGTTGTAAGCTTCCACAGTCAATCTAAGTTTGCTTATGTGGTGAAAGATCAATTTGTGATGCTTGATTCCAACAGGAACCTTATCCAGTACTTATCTGGGCTTACTGTTCTCTGTTCCTAGTCTGGTAACTCTCTTCAGTCACCCAGCCAGGCCAAATACGAAAGCATAACAGTACACTCTAGTATTTGACATTTGTCTCAGGTTCTCCAAAGCACCATAATTTTTGGAACTTACCCCAGTCATAGTGATGCCATTACACATCCACTTATCTATCCTTATTGAGCACACTGGGTACTGTCCACGGTGCTGGAGTTACAAACGAGAGCAGACAGCATCCCTGCTTTTCAGCATTATAGACTAGTGGAGGAGACTGCCATACCATGAATAATCTCAGAACGAAGGGCTGAGAACTATAATGGAGCTACAGCTGTGGTGCAGTAGGAGCACAACGGTGGGAGCAGTGACTGTCTTCTGAAAGGGGATTGGGAAAGTCTTCAAGGAGTAGCTAATGTTTAATGTTAGCATTGGAGAATGAGGAAGAGTTCACCAAGAGAAGAAGGGTAATACTGCATTAAGAAACACTGCAGTAAGTTGGGTGTGGTGGCTCATGCCTATAATCCCTGCACTTTGGGAGGCTGAGGCTGGAGGACCTTTTGAGGCCAGGAGTTTGACACCAGCCTGAGAAACATAGTGACACCTTGTCTCTACAAAAAATTTAAAAAAATAGCAGGGCATGGTGGTGCATGCCTGTAGTCCTAGCTACTGTGGAGGCTGAGCCAGGAAGACCACTTGAGCCCAGACCACTTGTACTCTAGTCTGGGGTCTGGGCAACAAAGTGAGAACTTGTTTCAAAAAAAAAAACCAAAAAAAACAAAAATTCAAGAATGGCAAATTTATTAACTACTAAGCCTAACAATTCCATTTTGGGGATTTATCCCACAGATGTATTTGTACATATATGACGTATGTATAAGAATAAACACTGCAGCATTATTTGTTAAGAATAAGAGATAAAAGCCAATCTACATGTAAGTTAATAGATCATTGGTTAAATAAATACAGTCTATCCACTTGATGGAAGGCTATGCAAGTGTAAAAGAAGAATGAGGAAGCTCTCTATTTACCAACATGAAAGATCTTTGAGACACAATGCTAAATAAAAGAAAGAAAGGTTCAGGATAGTACTGCCTCTTGTTTGTTTTGTTGTTTGATTTTTTGTTTTTTTCCCCTTCAAGACAGGCTTTCACTCCATCACTCAGGCTGGAATTGGCGGCAGGATCAGAATTCACTGCAACCTCGAACTCCTGGGCTCAAGAGATCCTCCAGCCTCAGCCTCCCAAGTAGCTAGGACTGCAGATGTACACCACCACACTTGGGTAATTTATTTTCTTTTTTGTGGAGACAGGGTGTTGCTGTGTTGCCCAGGGTGGTCTCGAACTCCTGGCTTCAAGTGATCCTCTTGTCTTGGCCTCCCAAAGTGCTAGGATTACAGGTGTGAGACACTGCACCTGGCCATGCCTCTTATTTTAAAGAGGGTAAAATGAGAATATACGTTCATATTTGTTCACATTTACATTAAAAGTCTATATACTATTTATATACATCTGATTAAAGGAGTTATTATTAGGTATAGTAGGGTGAGAACTAGAAAGACAATGGGGTGAAAGTGAGATTTTTCACTCAACATTTTTTAATTTTTTAATTGTGAAAATATTATCTATGAAAAATTGTTTTGAAAGAACACATTGCAAAAAACCACCAAAGTTAGATGCAGGGCTTAGAAGGCAATTTTTTAAATTGCTCTGTGGGTCAGAAACTTGTTGGCCAAAGAAAACAAGGGGAGAATGTCTTGCTGCACCCTCCTCCCAGGGGGCCGTGATACTCCAGTCGCTGTCTGGTCAGCCACAGTGCGTGGGAACAGGCTCCTTCAGAAGCAGACTCGAGTGGAGATCTGTGGCTGATGGGCACAGAAAACATTGGCGGGGAAATCTATAGATTTGAATGCTGAATTTTTATTCCTCCTTATGTGAGTGTATTCGTTCCATTTAAACAACATTCCTTCTGCTTTATTCCTGAAAGGATGTGAAGAGTTTCATTGAGGACACTGGGAAAAGAAAGCAAATAGATCTGTAGATCTGTTGTCTTTTGGGGGGTGCTGCTATAACAAGACACCATACATAGACTGGGTGGCTTATAAACAACAAATTTATTTCTCATTTCTGGAGGCTGGGGAGTCCATGATCAAAGTGCCAGCAGATTGTCTGTCTGGTGAGGGCAGCCTTCTGTTCCACGGATGGCACCTTCTTGCTGTGTCCTCACATGGTGGAAGGGGACAAGGCAGCTCTCTGGGGCCCCTTTATAAGGACTTTAGTCCCATTCGTGAGGGCCCCACCCTCATGACCTAATCACCCCCACAGGCCCCACTTGAACCCCCCACATTGGCGGATTTCAACATAAATTTAGGGGAAACACACATTCGGACCACAGCTACTGCATACCCTAATGTCATCTTCCAATTAAAAAAAATTCCTCTGACATTTTGAAATTTGGAAGTCTCCATTGTGGACAGGATAAGACGCAGACTGAAAAGCCTTTACTTTCCCCAGACAATGGACTTGTGAATGTTATTAGACACGGCTGGGTTGGTTTGGTTTTTCATTCCTCCAAGACTCAGTGCACTCCTCTTTGAAAGACGGAGAACAACACTATCATCTTAGATGTTCCGTGCCATCTGGTCATCATAAAATGTGTTCAGACACTCAAATGAAAGAAGGTGTAATTAAGGAAAATCAGTATATTCACATGAGGCTGTCCTCTAGCAGTTACCACTGGCTGAGAGTTCAGTTCTCAATTTTATAGTTTCTAAAGCTTTTTTGTTTTCTCTACACCAAGGGGACGGACCCAAACTGAGGAGAATCTTTGTTTTGGGGGACGGTTGCTGATTCTGTCTGTTATGCCTTCCTTCCTGTGAGGAACTGCTTTTCTCCCACCCACTTGCCCACTCTGCCTGCTGACATTCGCCCCCTACTGCGGGGGCGACCTGCTCGCTGTCAGTCTGGGGGACGTCAGTCACAGTGTCTAACCACGCGGCACCAGGGTTACCGAGACTGGGCCAAACCTAGTGCCCCTTCCCTTGGCCCCAGTCATTTGTTCAAAGGAACGAGCCAGTCTGCGGGGGGCGTGCGTCCCGAGCTGGATGAATCGTCCTCTTGGGTTGAAGGGGCCTTGCTTCTCAGCTCACGAGGCCCGAGGGACATGAATAGGGACAGCCGGCAGCCATGTGAACTGTGTGTGTATATTGTGGCGTTTAGAAGGCTACCCGAAATTCTCACAAAGTCATTTTACATTATTGGCATTTGAGCGGTTAAAACAAAATGTAGCGCTATGCTACTTATTTTCAATTTAAATAGGCTGATTGATCTTTTGAGATGGTCAAGTATGTAGGACAACTGATCAAGTTTGAAAAAAGAACAGTACAGATTGGCATGGGAAAAGATTTCACAGATCTGAGGGACTTTAGTAGAACCTGAATGATCTGGATGAACAGAGAAAAATAGTGACCATGTTGTAGGTAGCTGGAATATTATTAGCAAAAGTGCCACAGAAGAAGCAGGCAAGAGCATCAACCTGACTAGGACAGGGCTGAGGGTCAGCAGGCAGGTAAGTAGGCCAAAAGCACAAGGTTCGGATGTGGGGGTCTTGAGACTAGAGGACAGGGCCCAGCTTGGACTCCAGGGGAGAGGGACAGGAGGAGAGAGGCAGAGAGGCAGAGAAGGGAGAGAGGACAAGAACTGGAGGGAGACACAAGTGCTCTAGACAACGGCCATGCCTAACTGCTGTCTGCGTATGTCAATAAATCATAAGTAACTCTGCACCCCATGACCTGTCACCATGGCCACGGCTGTGCAGGCCAGGGGCAGAGGCAGAGCAGGGCCGTCTGGATGCTGCCTAGTGTGGGGGCTAGAAAGTGCCTCCCACGGTCTGAAGGGTTGTCGAGCTGTGGACAGTGAAGAAGCAGCAGACGCAGGAGAGCTCTCTGCCCTCCGTCTGTTGCCTGAAAGCAGGGGAGATTTATAAAAACAGAAGGGGCCCCGCCGCCCTGTCTACCAGGCAGCCAAGGGTCCCAGTGAGGGCGGCTCTAGACCTGCTCGGCCTGGAGATGATACCAGAGGAATCGCTATTAACAAACGTACTAACTGGGCTTTATCTGCCAGCTATTTGCCTTGCCCCAAGAGGCCACCCATAGAGACTCAAAGTTCTTTTCCCTTGTCTTCTTATTTCTCTAAAAATTTACTGTTTTGGAGGAGAGGTGGTTTAGTCTTCTGTTGCTCTTTGTATTTTTATTCTGAAGACAGAGAGTGTCACCGTGTCATCCCCACTGGATTGCAGTGGCATCGTTACAGCTCACTGTAATCTCCAACTCCTGGGCTCAAGAAATCCTCCTGTCTCAGCCTCCCAAATATCTGGGACTACAGACGTGCACCTCCACGCCTGACTAAATTTTACTATTATTAGTAGGGATGGTGTTTCAGTGTTGCTCAGGCTGCTCGGAACTCCTGAGCTCAAGCTGTTGCGGCAGTGTGTACAGCTCTTGTCACAGCTCTTTTGACCAGGGAAAGAACAGAGCTGAGCGGCACACGAAGAGTCGGAGAACAGCCTTTATTCTTCTACAGCAGGCTCAGCACACCTACTGTTACAGATCTCTGCGTGTCTTCCCATCTTCTCCCCCTCCTGCCCTTCTGCCCCTGCTTTTATACCATGGGTAGGGCTCAAGAAGAGTCCAATCAACTACAAGCTTTAATATCCAATCAGCAACAGGCTTTAATATCCAATCACCAACAAGCTTGAATATCCAATCAAAAACAGTGGGATTCAAAAATTACCCAATCAGGATTACGCAAACAGCGTGGCCGGAAACAGGCAGTGGCACGTGGGCCTGGGGCATTCCGGCACATGGGGCCCCAGGCGCCTCTCTGCGCCAGGGCCTGGCCCCAGCAGCGAGCTCCAACTAGCCATGTGCAGCGCTGGCCCGCGGAGATGCGGAGCTACATGGAGGCAGCAAGCAGCGGTGTCCCGAGTCCAGCATTTTCCGCATCAAAGCGATCCTCCCACCTTGGCCTCCCAGAGTGCTAGAATTACAGACAGGAGCCACCACACCTGGCCAAATTACTAGTATCTTTTATCTTCACTTTCAAAGAGGATTGACTCACATCCAATTTAAATTTCAAATTAAACCCAAAGGAGAAAACAAACTACCTAGCTGGGAGTCTTCAATGTCCTATTGTACACGAGAGGTTAAAGCATGGGGCACTGGAGTTGGTTTGCAGATAGTAATAAGGGACCTGTGCTGCCCACATGCACCTGACTGCACACAGCAATGGGGAGGGTGGAAGAAAGCACTTTTTGTTGTTGTTGTTGTTGGAGTCCAACTTTTTTTTCAAGTTAGAGTTCTTTAACTCTGTCCTCCAGGCCCCTGAGCTGCTCAGCCATGGCTAGTCCTATGTCCTCTTATGTAGACTATTCAGGCATTGTTTCTGTGGGATCTTGGGGTTCAAAGGTGAAGCTCCAACAGCAGGGGTTTGTTTTGTCTGTATTTCTTGTTAATAGTTAGGCAGCTGCTTTTGGATGGGGCCTAAGTATTGTGGGTTTTGTGTCATGGACAATTTACATGAAAATGTGTATTGGTAGGATTTCACATGAAGTCTCAACAAAGTTCACCGTAAGCCCATTAGTTATGCACTCAGTACCTTTATGACTGTGTTGACTACACAGCAGATTCTGGAATAGGAATCCTGGAGAGGAGCAGACCTCTAGGCTTATAGTTCAGTGTCCAGAGGGATAATTCCTACTATGGCAGCGGCTGCTGTTACTGAAGGTGTGTGGGGCTATTTTTGACAGAATCTTTTCATATTTTTGTTTGTACCTCTTTCCTCCATTTCCTAGCTCCTGCCCATCCTCCCTTGCCTAGCCCCTGCCTGTCCTCCCTTCCCTAGCCTCTGCCTGGCCTCCCTTCTCTAGCCCCTGCCTGGCCTCCCTTCCCTAGCCTCTGCCTGGCCTCCCTTCTCTAGCCCCTGCCTGGCCTCCCTTCCCTAGCCCCTGCCTGGCCTCCCTTGCCTAGCCCCTGCCTGGCCTCCCTTCCCTAGACCCTGCCTAGCATCCCTTCCCTAGCCCCTGCCTGGCCTCCCTTCTCTAGCCCCTGCCTGTCCTCCCTTCCCTAGCCCCTGCCTGTCCTCCCTTCTCTAGCCCCTGCGTGTCATCCCTTTCCTAGCCCCTGCCTGTCCTCCCTTCCCAGGCCCCTGCCTGGCCTCCCTTCCCTAGCCCCTGCCTGTCCTCCCTTCCCTCGCCCCTGCCTGTCCTCCCTTCCCAGGCCCCTGCCTGTCCACCCTTCCCTAGCCCCTGCCTGGCCTCCCTTCCCTAGCCCCTGCCTGTCCTCCCTTCCCTAGCCCCTGCCTGTCCTCCCTTCCCTAGCCCCTGCCTGTCCTCCCTTCCCTAGCCCTGCCGCCCCCTTCCCTAGCCCTGTCTGTCCTCCCTTCCCAGCCCCTTGTTCTGTCCTCCCCTTCCCTAGCCCTGCCTGTCCTCCCTTCCCAGCCCCTGTCTGCTCCCTTCCTAGCCCCTGCCTTGTCCTCCTTCCCTAGCCCTTGCCATGTCCCCCTTCCCTAGCCCTGTCTGTCCTCCCTTCCCTAGCCTCCTGCCTGTCCTCCCTTCTCTAGCCCCTGGCCTGCTCCCTTCCCTAGCCCCTTTCGCCTGGCTCTCTTCCCCTAGCCCCTGCCTGTCCTCCTTCCCTTAGCCCCTGCCTGTTCCTCCCTTCCCTAGCCCCTGCCTTGTCTCCCTTCCCTCGCCCCTGCCTGTCCTCCTTTCCCTAGCCCTGCCTGTGCCTCCCGCTCGTCCTCCTTCCTAGCCCTGCCTGTCCTCCCTTCCCTAGCCCCTGCCTGGTCCTCCCTTCCCTAGCCCGCCTGTCCTCCCTTCTCTAGCCCCTGTCTGTCCTCCCCTTTCCTAGCCCCTGCCCTGTCCTCCCTCTCTACCCCTGCCTGTCCCCCTTCCCGGCTAGGGCCCCTGCCTGTCCTCCCTTTCCTAGCCCCTGCCTGTCCTCCCTTCCCTAGCCCCTGCCTGTCCTCCCTTCCCTAGCCCCTGCCTGTCCTCCCTTCCCTAGCCCCTGCCTGTCCTCCCTTTCCTAGCCCCTGCCTGTCCTCCCTTTCCTAGCCGTTACCATCCTAGGCCTGCCAGTGCTAGCTGCAGGCATGTATTAGCTTTACTGAAGGAGTGGATTGAGGAGCCATTATGTTCTCTAAAGTCATCAAGAGAAGACTGATATAAAGATATTCGAGATATTCAGTTATAAACAACTTTCTTCATACTATGGTAACGTATTCCAGCATTTCCCCCCATATCTGGTAACTTAGTTCAGGTTCTTAACATTTATTTCCTACTTATTACATAGCTCTACTTATTATTGCCGTGGAGCAAACCACTGCACAACTGAGTGTAAAACAACAACCATGTTGCTGTGCTCACAGGTTGTGTGTCCAGAATTCAAACACTGCTGTCTTGTCCCCTATGTCTGGGACCTCAGTTCCAGGGGGGATGGAAAGGACAGGGGGATTAGAGCAGCTGGGCTGGAGGACCTACATCACAGACCATTCCCTTGCTGGCGTGTCTGGCCCTTCAGCAGGTCTGGTTGGAAGACTGGCTCAGCGTGGTCAGAGCGGCTGCGCAGGAGGCCTCGTGTGGTTGCACTTCTTCCGTGGTGATTCAGTGTCTCCTCAAACAAGGCAAAAGCTAGTCCTGCCTTTCATGGCCTATTAATAGCTTCAGAAATCACGTCACGTTACTTCTGCCATTCTGTCCTGGCTGAAGCAATCAGAAGCCTATAGATTCAAGGAAAGGGGCCCACCTTCCTAATGGGAAGTGTGTCAGACACTTTGGATCACGTTTTTAAACCATCAAAATAGTGCCCCTTTGGGTTTGTTATCTGACCTACCATTGTGTGGTGTGGGGTTGGGCAAGTTATTTAATTTTTGTGTGCCCTGGTTATCTCATGCATAAAACCAGATTGGTAATAATAACGACCTCATAGGGGTGTTAAAAGGGCAAAGGCTTCCCTCATCTGGTCTCCTTTACCCTTTACCCTATCCCCTCGTCTCACCTGCTCACTGCTCTGGTAGTCCCAGGGGTCGCCTTGCTGTTCTTTAAACACATCAGGGGTGCTCCAGCCTCAGGGTCTTGGCACTGGCTGTTCTCTGTGCCTTGAACCCTTTTCTTCCAAATATCCACATGACCAATGCTCTCTCCTCTTCTCCTGTTCACATGTCACCTCAGCGAGACATGCTCTGACTCCCTGTGGCCCTCCCAACCCCCTTCAGCCTGATCTAATTTCTTTCATCACATCTGTTATTCCCTGACATACCCTATAGCTTACAGATTTCTTAATGTTTGTTGTGTTTTGTCAGTTTTCCCTGTAATCCTAAAAGCTCTATGAGAGCAGGAATATGTGTTCTGTTCCTGATACTATTCCAAATATCTAGAACATGCAAGTAATTTATTGCAGCTGACCAGTTAATATAGGTTGAATTACTGAGAGATTAAATGAGACAAATGGATAAAGCATTTAGAAGAATCTCTGACACATACTAAGTAATACGTAAATGTTAGTCATCATCAGCATTAATGGTCTGTTGTGGTCTTCTGATTTATCATTTCTTTTTTTTTTTATTTATTTTTCACCTTATATGAACTTTGACTACGGATTTATCATTTCTCTCCCTGTGTCCTCAGCTTCTCCCATCTATAATTCATGCCAATGAGATTATCTTCTTTCTCCTTTTTTACAAGAGTAGGCCGCTTTCTTAAGGGGACGTGTGATGGGAAGAGTCTAGGCTTAGAAGTTAAAAATGGGAGCCGAGGCCGGGCGTGGCGGCTCACTCCTGTCACCTGAGCACTGTGGGAGGCCGAGAGGGAGGATCCCTTGAGGCGGGGAGTAGGAGGCTGCAGTGGGCTGTGGTGATGCTGCTGCACTCCAGCCTGGGCCGCAGAGTGAGAACCTGTCTCAAAACACATCGACAGCAACGATGCTTTCATCTTCTTTGACATGAACAACATTGCAAAGTAGTTTGTTAAGTTCACCAACTGCATGAGGCTTGTTTTGACCTGTAGGTATAGAAAGTGAGCGAGGGGAGGGCATGGTTCTGGATGGACAGCTGGCAAGGAGAAGAGTGTGCAGGCAGCAACAGCAGGGCGTGTGCACGTGGAGAAGCCTCCCTCCCTCCCTCCAGCGGGAGCAGCGGCCGCCACAGGGCGGAGGGTGGGACGTCCACCCCTTGCAGCACGCGGGGCTGAGGGTCGGGAGCAGAGGCGTGTTTGTGCGTGTGGAATGCGCGGCGTGCCTGCAGAAGCACATTCCTCCGCCCGAGTGTTCAGAGGGCTACGGCGTGTGTGCTTTGCTTTGCCTTCATTGCGCATGTCGAGTGCTTTATTCAACTATCCCACAAATATCTCAAGGGCCACACAGTCCGGCTGCTTCTTTGAGCACATTGTTTTAAACTGTTAGCAGCATAATGTAGAAAGACATTGGGAATCCAGATTTTTTTGGATCTCTCTCAAGTTCTGTGGCCGCTTCCTCTTCTGGGGAACGGTGACAGCTGCTCTGCTGCTTTCCAGCCCCGTGCGGGTCCGCGTGCGGTGCGCTTGCTGCAGGTGGAAGAGCTGGGCGCGGCGGCCTGGGGGCAGTCCTTTCGCCCCTGTTGTGTCTGACACCACACACCCAACATGCATAGCCGCTTTCTGAACACCCCCTTGAACTTCAACACTTGATATTTGTCTCTCGACATTCCTCGCAAATTCGTATCGTGGTTAAATTCCTTTGAAGTGCTAGATAATTTAGGATTAAAATTAAAGCAGTGTTGTTTTTTCAACTATAGGCTCTTAAAACTTGGCAAGCACGATGTGGTCTTTGATCCCGTATCTTTGCGTGTGCCGTGTTGCAGGACACGTCTCCCAGAGACAGTCTGATACTCACCTCTCACACCGGAGGTTGCTATGGAAGCAAACAGCCTGTCTGCAATGTCATTGGCAACTACCGGTTCCAACAAAGCCGGGGTGAGGGGGCTTCCGGTGTGGTGAGGCTGGAGAGGCACTTGCTGACAGCAAGAGAGGTAAATGCAAATTATGCTTATCTCTGTTACAACACCTGGTCTGTTTAATTGTATGTGAGAGAAAGAGGAAGAATGTATGTATATATTTGGGCCTATTTCTAAGCTAATGAAACTTTTTTAAAAGAACATAAAATGCATATTGTCTGGGAGTGCTTTTGCTTTCCCATTACTTTAAATGTTGTGCATATTATATTGAGTGTTTGAGTAGTCTTTATCTTTAAGAATGGGTAGCGCTTTATTCTTTTTCAGTAGTAAGATGTCTGCCACCACAGTAAAAATTGCCTTGAACTTCAAGTATGCACTTATGTGTATGTGCTCATGGTACTTGCAGATGTATAGTATGTGTATACTTATAGATTTTTCTTCAAGAGGTTTCTTCTCTCTAAATACTTTTCTCGTAGCTGTGTTTGATGGGTTAGAGTGCAAGAAGGCACGCACTTTCCTAGCCTCTGTCATACGGGCTTTTCGATCAACCTTACTCCTTATTTATCAACATACACCCATTAAAACCATGAAATTAACTCCTGCTCACATTCTTCCTGTGTGGTGTGGAGTCTGCTTTGCTGCTTTGACATAGTTTCCTACATTTAGGTCTTTGCACCTGCCCTTCCCTCTGCCTGAAATGCTCCTCACCCTTCCAAGGGGGTCACTCTGGGGAGTAGTCCTTGACAGACCTCTCTCCTCAGGCACGGGACGGGGCAAAATCCTGACTCGGCCCTTGTCTGACACCAGTTACACTGTGCTGGAATCACTGAGTTGTCTCTCTCCCCGTCTAGTCTGCTGGGCTGCCCCTAGCCTGCAGGGCTGGGCGGAAGTACTGCACATGGTGCTCAGCACCTCTTAGGCACTTAATAAATACTTGTTGAATGAATGTGATAATACTTTTGAAGGAAGCTTTTAAAAGAAATGCTCTCCCTGTGCCAGACCCTCCTGGTGGATGTGCCGAGACGCTGTGACGGAAGTGCCATGGCGTGGATGCCCACGGCCCCCTGGCTTGGGGCTGCTGGAGCAGGAGCCCCGGCCGGCCTTCTGCCAGCGAGCAGCCGTGTGCAGCAGCACAGCCTCGAGCCGGGACTTGGGGAAGGTGGGAAGCGTGGGTCGACGCTAAGTGGAATCTTAGGTAAAGACTGGAACCAGAACTTTGCCTCTTCACAATTCACCTCAATTTTAGTGACGAAATACCATTGGATTTTTAGTTAGGACTCCTAGTGGTTGAGTCGCTTGGACTGCTTTTGGAATCTAAACAACAGGGTGGATAGAGCTGTCCCTGTGTTTCTTCAGTCAAAACTTTCTTGAGATGAGGAACCAAACCTCCGAGTTTACTTCCCAGCAGTCCCAGGCGGTCACTGGCCAGTTTCCTTCTGCGGGCGCAGCGGCAGCCAGCAGAGCAGGGGGGCAGGGACAGACCCCCCTTTCCCTTACAGTGGCTGGAGTCTGACTGGCGTGTTTAATTCTAGTGGCTTCTCTCTCCAGAAGCGCTTGAATATGACTAGCAGAGAGTGGCTTAATTTAAAAGTTTTCGCCATTTTCTAAAAAGCTGTGAGCAAAGCCATTTTACTCCTGTTTTTATTTCTAGTCTGGATATGACTCAAAATCATATAAAATATAAATATTATAGAAATCTATTATGCAGAAAGTAAAAGTTCCTTGAAATTTTTTTCTTCAAAGAAATCACTTTTAGCAATTTGGTATATATTCTCAGAGTTTTTTGTATAGACATTAACTTTTTATTTATTTTAACACAAAAGGGACTCTAATGGAACATAATGGTAAGTTTTTTTAAAAAACTTGGTAATATAATCTCTGGGTCTGAGCACTCTGAGATCCACCGTAACTCAGTTTACTGGCAGCGTGGTCTTTCAGCGCATGGCGGTGCCATAGTTTATTAGCTGTCAGTGGGCACTGGGGTGGTTTCTCATTTTTGTGTTGTTAGAAACAGATCTGCAGTGAACATTCCTTTGTATAACTTTGTGTGCTGCTGTTAAGAATGTTTGTGTAGGGTAGGTTCCTAGAAGTCCTTGGTCAAAGCAGGTGAATATTTGACATTGTCATAGATACTGCTAAATCAGTTTTGAAAAAGGGATTCACCTACTTTATTATCCTACCAAAATGAATGAGAATGTCCATTTCCCCACACCATTGCCATATTGTAGATAAATTTTATCTGATTGTTTTGGTCTGTTTTGTTGCTGTAACAGAACCAGAGACCCAGTAATTGATACAGAAAAGAAATTTATTTCTCACAGTCAAGGAGGCTGGGAAGTCCAAGACTGAGGGCCTGCCTCTGACGAGGGCCTTCTTGCTGCATCCTGACATGCTGGAAGGACAAAGGGAGGAAGCCTGGAGAGAAGGAGGGGAAGGGGAGGAGGGACGGGAAGAGGAGGAGAGAGAACGGGAGAAAAGAGAGCAGAGTCCTCCTGGCTTAATCACCTCTTGAAGGTCTCACCCCTTAATACTGTTTCTATGGCAATTAAATTTCAACCTGAGTTTGGGAGGGAACAAACATTCCAACCAAAGCACTGATGGGCAAAAAATTATGTGAAAGAACAAAAGTTACTTTCCCCTGACATCTACATATATTTATGATATTTTCATATTATATTTTTGCCATTCATATTTTCTTTTTAAAATAAGTTTCCTGCTTATATTTGTGTATATGTATTTTTTTTTTGGTCTTTTTAAATCTTAGTGATTTAAACTCTTTATGTTTCAATCATCTGTCTGTTGTATAAGTTAGGAACATTTTCCCTAGATTTTTCTTTTTACTATTTATTATATCCTTTTTAAAAGAAGTTTTAAGTTTTTTTTTTTTTTTTTTTTTGAGACAGAGTCTCGCTTTGTTGCCCAGGCTAGAGTGAGTGCCGTGGCGTCAGCCTAGCTCACAGCAACCTCAAACTCCTGGGCTCGAGCGATCCTTCTGCCTCAGCCTCCCTGGTAGCTGGGACTACAGGCATGTGCCACCATGCCCGGCTAATTTTTTATATATATATCAGTTGATTTCTTTCTATTTATAGTAGAGACGGGGTCTCGCTCTTGCTCAGGCTGGTTTTGAACTCCTGACCTTGAGCAATCCGCCCACCTCGGCCTCCCAAGAGCTAGGATTACAGGCGTGAGCCACAGCGCCCGGCCAGTTTTAAGTTTTTATGTGGTAAATTTTTTCATTTTTTTTTCTTGATTACATTTGTGTTTCATGTCTCTACGAGAAATTTTTATTTTGTTCCCTAATTTAAAAAAAAATGCTGTATTATCTTCTAATACTCTTCCTATGGCTCACATTTGAACATTTAACCCACATTTGAACCTGTTTGGAGAGGTTGGTATAAGGTGTGGGGATCTCTTTTTTCTCTCTCTCTTTTTTTTTTTTCATGTGTATGAGCACTTGTCAGGAGCCCTCAGTTCTTTCCCCACTGATTGAAGATACTTGCTTTACCACACACTCAATTTGTGTATATGTCATTTTGTTTCTCTGATCTCTTATTAGTGTCATGCCCATGCCATGGTGTTTTTATTCCTGCAGCTTTTGATTATATGTTTTGACGTTTTGAAGTGTAATCCCCTACTGATAATTCTTATTTTTCAAATAATAATTCTTATTTTTCAAAATATTCATAGTTTTCATTGCCATTTACTCTTTCAGTTGAATTTTATTTTATTTTACTTTTTATTTCTTTAATTTTTTTTTTTGAGACAAGATCTGGCATTGTTGCCCTGGCTAGAATGCAGTGGCATCTTCATAGCTCACTGCAAACCTCCGACTCCTAGGCTCAACCGATCCTCCGGTCTCAGCCTCCCAAAGTGCTGGGATTACAGGCATCAGACACCTCACCCCACCCCAGATGAATTTTAGATTCAAATTACCATGTTTTGAAAATGGAACATGGAATTTTGATTAGGTTATTTTGATGAGATTAGTTGAGTTTATAAATTGATTAATTTTGGGGGAAAAATAAGATGTGGTTGTGGTATAAGTTCGATTTAGATACACTTCACTCTCTAGGATGATTCTCAATTTTCAATTTTTAGACCATGAACCAATGAGAAATGGGCATCAAAATTCTTATTTTATATATTTTTAAAAACACAAGTATCATTGTGAAATTCATCTGATTTAGCTCTCGGATGAAAATGCTTCCCATTATCCTTATTGTCATGGAAGCATCTGTCCCATATTTACCATGAATTTGGGGATGTTAGTTGCCTCCCTGTCTTGCTTTTGGCAAACTTTTCACAGCTTAAAGTTATTTGGGCTTCTGGAAAATTGTCTGTTTTTATATTACAATTTCTTTCAAGCTAAATATTTTCCTATAAATTCAATCCCCCCAGCCACTGGTTTTCATAGCCTCTCAGAGAGCTTTCCCCTCACATGAACTGCAAGAGTAGTTTCTCGGGGGTAGTGGGGGACAGAGGTTAATTGAATTTTTCTTTTATTCTTGAGACAGAGTCTTGCTCTGCCACCCCAGCTAGAGTACAGTACATAGCTAGAGTACATCATAGCTCATGGAAACCTCAAAGTCCAGGGCTCAAGCAATCCTGCCTCAGTCTCTCAAGTCTCTGGAACTAATAGGGACTAACAGCCTCCAAGTCCCTGCCACCATGCCTCGCTAGTTTTTTCTATTTTTAGTAGAGACAGGGTCTCGCTCTTATTCAGGCTGGTCTCAAACTCCTGACTTCAGGCAATCCCAGAGTATTAGGATTATATAGGCATGAGCTACCTTGCCCTGCCGGAATTTTTATTTAAAACAACTAGTGACTGACAAAAAGAGTTAATGCCCAGAATGATTTGCTTCAATTAAAAATTAATAGTAGCTGATTTGGAAGCAAGCAAACAGAAGGGTGAAAGAGAGCCTTAATGTTCTGCTAACAGATATAACTAGAAAGCATAAAGATTATCGGTGTGCTTTTAGCACAATTTGGAAGTATAATCAATGTGCAGAAAAAGCCTCATATAAGCCTCATTGCTGCATATGAAAAATCACTTAATTATTATACATTTGTGAATA